TTTCAATTATTGCTCAGTTAAAACAAAGTCTTTTCTCTGCATTCGGTGGTCCACTATTGTTAGATTACTTATTAAAGAGGACTGATAGGCTGAAGCTGTTTTCACTTAGGATTTGTATGACATGTTCATAACTGAAATGGAGAGTTGCCATAGTTACCTGTGTGAGCTGTTAAACAGAGCACAATGTACGCTAACATCTCTCCATCAAGGTCAAGTAGACATTTTCAATTAGCACCAAATAATTTGCTGCCTAATGGAAGTTAATGAAATTATTAAAAGAGTAGAAGAAATTAAAAGTAAAGTTAATATGGATATATTTTATATTTAAATATGTTTTAGTGTCCAGCCATTTCTGTGGGGTTCTTACCAGCTGGAAATTCTGCAGTATAACTAGACGTCTGGAGAGAAGTTTAGAGTAAAAACACATTTGGATTTTGGCACAGATTACTGCCTTCGAATCCAGCCCATCATTAACAGCTTCTGTACAGTATTGTTCTTCCTCTAGGGGCTATAAAAATGAACCAAACCTTTGTTCAACCTAAACTTCCTTTCTTGGTCAGCTGTTCCTGCTGACTTCCCATCCTAGTGACCCTATTGTTTCCATTGGAAATGTCAGAATGGAGAGGAGTACCGGCTGCTTGCTTTAAAAAAGTAGCATGCTCCACTCCAGAAGTCCAAGAAGAAGAAAATGGACGTCATTACATGAAATAATCATTAGCTCAGTGCTTCTCAGACATTATTATGCATGTAGGTCACCTGGAGATCTTGTTAACCTACAGACTATGATCCAGCAGGTATGAGGTGGAGCCTGAATGTCTAGTTCTAAAAAGCTCCTTTAAGAAACAATGGTGATATAGCACCTCTTGTATTTTCCTGGATAGAGCTGGAACCCATTCTACTAAGTGAAGTATCTCAAGAATGGAAAAACCAGCACCACATGTACTCGCCAGCAAATTGGTATTAACGAATCAACACCTAAGTGGACATCTAGGGATAACATTTATCGGGTGTCGGGCAGGTGGGAGGGGGGAAGAGGGGATGGGTATATACAAACACAACAAGTGAGATGCACAACGTTTGGTGGATGGCCACACTTGAAGCTCTGACTCGAGGGGGCAGGGGGCATGGGCAATATATGTAACCTTAACATTTGTACCCCCACAATAGGCTGAAATAAAAAATAAAGAAATCACCAATTTGTTAAAAAAAAAAAACAAAAAAAACTCCCAGTTGATAATAATGCTGTGATATAGTCCACAGACTATATCTTGAGTAGCAAGGCCCTTGTCGGTTTCATCATTTGGTTATTGGAATCATCATATACATATCAACTCTAAAGTGCTGCCACACCATCATCTTGCTCGACACACATATCCGCACACAGAAGGGTTACAGTTTGCTGACATTAAGATATTACGCAGCTTCCCATTCATCAGGCCCATGTGGCATGGTGCTCCCAGAACTCTCAATACCTTTGGTAGGATTGTGCTTTTGATGTACAATGATCACACTAAATAAACATTATACTCAAAAAAAAAAAAAACAAAAAAAACACCCAAGTGAATACGGAAATAGCTCAAATGTGGAGATAATGAAATGTTTCATTCCACAACAAAATAGCATTTGACTGATCTTCGCTCTTTAACAATGGATAAAGCACAAATCAAAAGTAAATCAGTCAACTCAAGGCAAACTAGAATTCCACTGACATGTGGCATTGACAAAAAATATATAGAGGATGTGTAAAGTCCCAAATTGTTATTTATTTAAAACATGGAGTATCCTACTTGGAAATAGGCTGAAGTTTTATTAATACATTATAGTCTAGTTTTGAAGCTAATCTATTATTGGGCATTTGTATGCATGCGTGAGGGGGTAATATGCTATAAATTAGCCAGATTAACCATCTGCATGATACAAATCCACTGAATAGTATCAAACCTCGAGATTTATCAATCATCATATCTGGAAAAAAGGTGTTAGGTCAGCCACTATATTAAAATTAGAGATTTACATTAATCTGTCCCAGTCTGTAAAATGGACCCCCCACTGCCATCAACATACACAAACAGAACTGTTCAGTTCCCCACTTACAATTTTTTTCAAAAGAACATTCTTAAAATGAGTAAACAACAGGTCTCTTCCTTCTAGACCAGTGGTTCTCAGACTTTAGAGTGGATCAAAATCACCTGGAACGTTTTTTTAAAATACAGATTACTAGGCTCCAACCTCTAGTTCAGTAGGTCTGGGGTGTGCCTCAAGCATTTTCACTTCTAACAAGTTTCAGGTGATGCTAATGCTGCTGGTCCAGGGACCACACTTTGAGAACCACTTTTCTAGATCATTAATTCACATCCTTAGTTGCATATTAGAATCATCTAGGAGAATGCTTGAAAACCCAACACCCGTGTTGAAATTCAAAGTAAATCAAGATCTATGAGGGTGGGACCCAATTATTGGTAATTTTTAAAGATTACCCAGGTGGATCTAATGTTCAATCAAGGCTAAGAACTATTAGGTATAAGGGAATAGTTTCTTTCTTGGAGCTGAGTATAAAACCATTACTTCAAGCTCATATTAGCCCAGATATACTATAATGATCCTGAGAGCATAACTGAACAAAATAATGGGGCAGATGAAATGTCCCAAAGTTATGGAAATATAAGCTTGTGGAATATTTCAGCTTTATTGCCTAATTTGAAGATTATCTTCCCAGCATTTACTGTGCATGTGGGGGTGGGGCACTTGAACTCCAAATAAGATGTTAATTCCCAATTCCCTCGTGTAGGGCTTCTTATGCAGAAAGCTAAACCAGAGGATCCACCTGCATCACTAAGAAGTCCATTCTTTGAAATGGACTTCCAAAAGAATATAATTTTTCTAGTAAAATCATAACATGGTTCAGAAACCCAAGAAGGATATTTGATACTTCTTTCTCCTTCCTCACTCAACAGCTTTCTCTACCTCCTGTCTCATCACAGTCTTCCAGTTGGCAAGAAGTTAGAGAAGGATAAGTTAGAAGATTCCAAAATGCTTTGAGCTTGCCAAGCCATAATATGTACCATGGCTTGCTGTTTTAATCTTGGAGAAAGGATCCAATCCAGGGACATGAAAGATGACATAAAATCTATAAGTTGGATTTTAGTTGCATTTAAGAATGATTTGCTATAGTTAGCACATCTGCCATCCCTACAGTCAAGGCTTGGAGATTTCTCTACAAGGAGAAAAAAGTAAGATTCCTAAATTCTAAATAGAGAGATTCTCTATTTCCTACAAATGATCCTTCAGCCTTTGCCTTAACTACCTGGAGGGAAATATTCTACTTGCCCAAACTATTTCTTCTGATTTTTTTAAAATTATTAAAATTCTTTCTTTTTAAACATGGAACTAAAATATACTTCCTTTTAACTTCTACCCATTGTCCTACACCAATCATTCCATCACTCAAAACAAGCCTACCTAATCCTTCCTTTTTCGATGTTAGAAATATTTATTCAATACCTATCACACTAGGCACAAAATGAGGAACAAAGGTGAAACAGCCCTTTTAATTAGGGATAGAAAGACAAAAGCACAAATTCCATAATAGAGACATAGATACACAAAAGGAGGAGTAATCAGAATTAGCAGAAAGGCTGAGAAATACTTCAGAATAAACAACACTTAAAATTAATTTTGGAGAATGGGTAAGATTTCAGCAGGTTAGAGATAAAAACATATTCCAGACATTTCTGGGGAAGAGAACAGTATAAATAAAGGCAAAGAATGATAAAATCCTTAATTCAAGTAGAAGATATAACAATTATAAACATAAATGTGCCTAAAAACAGAGCCTCAAAACACATGAAGAAAAAATTCACAGAATTGAAAGGAGAAATAGACAATCAACAGTAAGAATTTGAGACTCCAGTACCCTACTTTCAATAATGTTCAGAACAACTAGATGGATGAAAAAGGGAATAGAAGACCTGAACAACACTATGAACCAAGGAGACCTAACTGACATATATAGAACATACCAAAAATTGCAGAATACATGTTCTTCTCAAGTGCACATGGAACATTCTCCAGGATAAACTACATATTTATGATTCTATTTATATGAAATATACAGAGTAGGCAAATTCACAGATGTAGAAAGTAGACAGTGGTTACAAGAAACCAGGAAAAGAGGTCTATGGGAACTGATTGTTAATGGGCATGAAGTTTCTTATTGGGTGATAAAAGTGTTCTGAAATAGGACAGTGGTGACAGTTGCATAGTTTTTAAAATATACTAAAAATGAATTGTACACTTTGAGGTTAAAGTTTCCTGGTGGGCAAGGATCACATTTGTCTTGCAAAAGAACAGAATACATAGTCCATCGTGTGTGCATATACATATTTTGCTCTCACCCATATCATGTACAGAAAAACATCTCCAAAAAATTAGCCTCTGAGCAGGACATTAGGGAAGAAGTGAATATACAGAATGAGGTCAGGCATTTGTAATAGTAAGCTATTCTTTCATTCATACCTTCAACAAGTATTTATTGAGAACCAAAGTGTGCCAGGCTTTCTACAAGGTGCTAAGGATTCAGCAGTGAACAAGACAGACAATAGTTTGCAGGGCATATGCCCTAGTAAGTCTAATTACCTCAGGACTAACCACATTTCAATCTTAGATATCAAGTACCAGCTGGGAAGTATAGTTATTTTGACACTTATAAAGCTATAGCAAAATCATTTGATTTTACCCACCCTGAAGAAACAGTATGTGAATGATAACACACTGGCCAGCATGGCAACAACAGCAAGAAAAAAGTAGAGTTAAGAGAATAGGAATCTATTAATGTGTCTTTGCATTGTTCACAGACAGAGATATTAGCTATTCTGCAAACATAAACCCATAGTGAAGATGGCACTATGACATATGGGATGGTCTTAGCTTTCTGACAACAGCCATGACAATGTTTCTACCAAACACCATGGCTGTGATTCCATATCAAATAAGCAACTTACCTTGTAATTTGTCCTCTCTACATATAGGAGAGGATGAACTCATCCAGCGTATTTGGATGTCCTGCTCTTCTATATGTTACAGTTCTCATTGGAAAGTCCCGAATTGGTATTTGGGTTTATATATTAGTCTCTTCTGAGTTTGGTAGTGTAAGCTATTTCTGAAAGACTAATAAAATATATATTAAATCCTAGAAGATGATGACCATTCCCCAAACACTGCTACTCTCTGATGCTTATGGATGAAATATTAGAGCTAAAATTAAAATATGACTACTTAAGTGTTACATATCATTCAACAACACATAGTGAGAGTGCCTTCTATATTCACGATACTCTGCTAGGAGATATGCAGACACAGGATTCATAAGAGAAACAATCCTCAAGTGGGCTCTCCTGGATAAAGATATTTCTTGATAACTTTAATCTAAGGTATTTAAAGCATGTCACAGATATTAATTAAGCTCTGTGAATATGATATTATATTTATAATTTTGAATGAAAATGTGTGAAGATATGAATTTATTTGGTGTTTAATGAAATGTTTCCTATCAAATGGAAATAATTTTGATTTCAATATTGAGCATATGAAAAAATCACAAGAGAACCATTAAAAGAAATGGTTCTATTAACCTAAAATAAGTATATTTCTGTCTCAGTTTTTTGGAGGTCTATAAAAAACTGTTTTGTTGAACACTACGTGGGGAAAAAAGTGGTTAAATGAGTTTGCAAAGTAAAATATTCGTCACATTGTCTTATTATCTTTTATTAGTCATTATTATTATTTTCTTGTTGATTTTCAAGTTTCACAAGCATGCAGATCTGCTATTTCTCAGCCATTTGCATGTCTCTCTGCATATGAGTGGGAGGCCAAATGTAGTCATGACACACCTTCTTTTCAATATGAAAGATCTATGTGAATTTTCAGTTTCTTTGGCAAAAAGCCAGTTTAAAATACTTAAAATATTAAAAAATATGGAATGTTTAATAAGTTTTACGTTTTTAAGGCACATATTTGTACTTCAAATGAGGAATATAAGTATATAATAGAAACCTTTAAAGGCGGCTTATATTATTAATACCAGATAAGAGTAGTTTATCATTAGATATTGCTGATAATTATGCTTTTTATTTGTTCAGGTCTTTATAGCTCATAAAACCTCTGTAATGGATCTCTGAAACTTTTTCAAATTCTATTATTCTCTGGATATGATTTATTCAAGATCATATAGCTGTTAAGCAGTAGGACATAGGGCCCATTTTTTCCCCTTTAAAAACTTTATTATAAACTAAATATAAACTTATTTGTTTGTTTATTATCTTTCTTATCTATTAGAAATTCCAAGTGAGCAAAAAACACATCTGTCTTATTCTTGGTTCTACTCCAACGTCTGGTACAGTCCTTGGCACATAATAAATTCTTTACACATATTTGTTGAGGAATTAAGGCAAGACACCAAATGTCTCTGATTCTAGTACTTTCTTCCTTATACAACATCAGTGAGTATGTTAAGATTCTGGAATTATTTATTTGTTTAGCAGATCATGCTTCTCCCATATTTGAAATCAGTCAGACTCTTGTCCAAATATTATATTGAAATAAAAAATGAGCCAGAGAAGTTTTGCTGTATGTAAACTAATCTATACTTCTTTCTCTCAAATTCTATTTGACATGTCCAACTACTTGATATCACAGAAATCAGATAATGATATTCCCTTTTTCTACTTAACCACATTGTGGTAAAAATTAAATGGCATGTTCCAACTAATCCAGCCAGTATTGCCTTTATTTCCTCCAGCTAAGAGGGGTAAATAGAAATGGTTACCATGGAAAGTCGTAAATACCACTGACTGCTATTTCCTCATTTGCCTCTCTCTCATGTATATTAGAAGAATAAACAGCAAGAGTTCCTTCCAAAGGTTGAGCTGCAGGCATGTGCACGGTATTAAGTCCAGAGTTTCTGTATTGCATTAGGTTGCCCAGCTATAGCAGAAGTAGGGATGATAGGCTGGGCATAGTGGCTCATGCTTGCAATGCCAGCATTTTGGGTGGCCAAGGCAGGAGGACTGCTTGAGGCCAGGAGTTTGAGACCAGCCTGGGCAACATAGTGATACCCTTACTTTACCCCCAAAAAAGAAGAAAGAAGGAAAGAAGGAAAGAAAAAGAAAGAAAGAAAGAAAGAAAGAAAGAAAGAAAGAAAGAAAGAAAGAAAGAAAAAAAGAAAGAAAGAAAGAAAGAAAGAGAGAGAAAGAAAAAAGGGAGAGAGAGGGAGAGGGAGGGAGGGAGGAAGGAAGGAAGAAAGGAAGTAAAAAAGGAAGGAACGAAAGAAAGAAGGAAATAGGGATGATAATAAGAGTGGGCATTTATTGAAACTTTACCCAATGCCAAATATTGTGCCAACAACATCCTATGGATTGAATGTGTCCTGCAAAGTTCACGTGTTGGAAACTTAATTCCCAAGGCAATGGTATTGAGAAGTAGAACCTTTAAGAGGTGATTCGGTCATGAGAGCTCTACCCTCATGAATGGATGAATGTGGTTATTAGGGGAGTGGGTTGGTCATTATGGGGGTGGGTTGGTTATCATGGGAGTGGGTTCCTGATAAACAGATGGCTTTAGCCCCCTTTCTTTCTCCCTCCCTCCATTCCATCTTCCACTATCAGATGACACAGCATGAAGGCCCTCACAAGACATCAGGTCTTTGGAATTCTTAGCCTCCAGAAATATAAGAAATAAATCTCTGTTCTTTAAAAATTTCTCAGTCTCAGGTATTCTGTTATAGCAACACAAAATGGACTGAGACAATACATTATCCAATTTCATCCTCATGCTAGGCCCATGAGTTAGGTCTTACTACTACACTTTTACAGAGGAGAAAACTGATACTTAAAGATGTTAATTTTCTTAAGTACACTCAGCTATTAGGTGGCTGAAGTGACGTTCTAACACAAGTTTGGGGTTTTTTTTTTAAACTGTGGTAATGATCTAATGGTATTTTTGTGTTGGGGATAGAAAGATAACTGAAAAAGAGAAAGATAACTGAATACTTACTTATAGTAAAGGTCAGCTTTTCTTATAATTTGTGTAGCTTTATTTCCTGGAAATTGGCATGTTCTTTTCTACCTTTGGAGGGGTGATAGATACCTCAGGGCTGTGCTCTTAATATCTGATAGTGACACGTATCTCTGAATCAGAGCACCCATCCTTTGAACAATCTGATTCTTTTTCTGTGTTGTCCAGTGCTGGGGTTGGGGGAAGAAGGGGTGAGAATGCATCTCTTTTAACCCAGGCCTGCCTGATCCCAATGCTTGAATGGGAGTGACATTTTCCTAGTCTTTTCTGCCACAGGGCTTTGGAGAATCACTTGCCTCTGGTCTCTTGGCCAAATTAATCCTACCATGCTCACGTGATCTCAGGAAGCCCCAGTAGGTGTCAGGCAATGGAATCTGTAAGCCAGAGGTCTTGTATTGCATTTTGCATTTCTGTTTCTTCTTTGGGCATTAGACCAGAAGATCAATTTAACAACAACCACCACAAAACACCTTATAGATCATATGGAAATGAACTGTGGCCTCCTTGTACCTAGCTAAGAGCCTGAGACACAGTAGGTACTTAACAGATTTTTGTTGAACTGAATTATTGTTGAACTAAACTTTGGTAACTAAACCCATTAAGTGAGAACCAACATGGTACCGAGCAGACCTGCCCTGAGGCACCAGTGAACTCATTGTTTTATATGTGCATCTAAACATATCTAGGAATCAATGTTCTGACCTAGAGTAGGAAGGAGTCCAACACCTATAGGTAGACATATTATTTGATGAAGTCCAAGCTATTCCTAAATATAAATCTATATGGTAATTCACAACTTTCTAAATTCTCTTTTTTCCTTACCATCAGGTTTCTCCTGTTCATTTTTTTTTCCCTTGCAGAATGAGCCACATAATTGCTTCAATTTTCCACTTCCCTCTGACAGATGTAGTTATATGTATGTGTGTAATACATACACACATACATAAACATGAGTTGAAGTCAATTTAGATAACAACTGACAAGAAATTAAATATTTAAAGATGTTGTTGATTATGTAGTTATCACAAATGTCTAGTTAGCATCCCATATTGGAAAGAAAACCCCACCATGATTATCTCATCTTGGCAGTCTTCCCCCCGCCCCCCAAACTACAACTGCTACATATTTACTTAGAGCCTTAATTCACAGTTGTTTATTTCCTGCTTTCACATCCAAAGTTGGGGAAAATAGACCTGAGTGAATTTCAAATTTCAGAGTTAATAGCATACTTCTGGTGTGGTAGGTATTTATTCAACTTTAATATATGAAGGTGGGCATCTGTTTTTCTTTCGACTGATGACACAGTTCATTTTCTCCTGAATAACAGAGGCATTTCAGAATGCATGAAAGCCCACTTTCTGCCTCATTTCCTGTAAATAACTTTACACTTACTTCAAAGCTGACCTTTCACTTAGATCAAAAATCCATGTTACTAAAAACTTGCAGAGAAGAGAACTGAATCAATAGGATGAACATTAAAATAATTGTATCTTGCTTTATTTACTGTACCCTGAACACCTTTGAGGGTTTATAATTTCTGGGGATGCCCTGAGCAGCTTGAGTGAAGTATCTGCCAAAAATCACATCTGACTAGTGCCCTGTTATTTTTTTCCACTGCTGTTTTTCAAAAATGCCATCAGGGAAGCTTAACTACAACAATTCTCTTTCAGTGTTGTCAATTTTCCATGAGTTCAGGCAGGCCACCGTACAGATCTCAAATACACACAAAATTGTAAATGAAAACCGGGTTAAAAGGAAAGGAAATGTTGATATACTTAGTATCATAGAAATCCAGTATAAAGGACAGACTACTAAATTGTAGAGTGAAGTCAAGTTAGCCGTATTCACTGGAAACAAAATGCAAATTACCTTGCACTTGGTTACTGGAGAGAAATGAGGAGGCTTTAAAAATAGACACCACTGTTTTTGGCCTTTGTTTAAAATAGTAATTCCCAAGACTAAATTTCTCTTACCGTCTTTTACACGCCTGGATCAAAAGAAGCAAATCTGACTGGTGTAGGAAAATCTTTAGGGAAAACCTAATTCCTTTGTCTTCTCAGCAAAGACTTTGAATAAGAGTCTAAGTTTACTTTAGCCTGTGCGTTTTGAGAACTGGCCGACACATTTAATAGGAGCCAGAGAGACTTTCCTCACATGATCTAAGCTTTGGAATTCCTTTGTTTCTTGCCTCTCAAATGGAAGAAGAATAACAAGTATTATATGGTCCACAAACTCTTTGACCATTCAGTTACCATTTTAATATACTACATATACACTCTGTGCGCGTGTCTGAAAGATAGGGGGAAAGACACAAAGAGAAAGGGAAAGAAGAAACTGTGGATGCTAATGATTAATATTAATCACCTGGGTAGTGAATATTATTATGAGCAAATTAGAAAATTAGAATTGGGTTAAACCTGAAAATTATTAAATATATTGGTCTTTAATACTGGGTTTCTAAGAATTTTTTTTTTTTTTACTATTATTAACAATCTTTTTTTACATGCTAATCATATCAAAAGGAAGTCTCTTTCCATGAAATCATTCTTCCTTTCTATCCTTTTCCTCACATTATTCCTATATGCATCAAGAGCAGTGTCTTTATAGCTGGTAGGCTTTTTGGCCTCTGTCATTTGTACTTTGAACTGAATGATTAGGAAATTGCTATGGCAAATGTTACCCAATTTGGAGTTATTAGGGCCAAAAAAAAAGTCTTAAGATACACAGGCTAATAAAAACACAGAATTCTTCTTTTTGTATAATTGAGGAAGATATCTTCCTTTTGTAATCAAAGATGGAATACCCAAAAACAGTGAAGCAAAATGGAATGCCAAAGAATGAAGAAAAATACACTTTCCTGTATTCCATGCTGATACCTATATTTGTTCACTGAATCCCCAAAACCTATTCCTTTGTCACCCTCTTCAAGTGCTAATTCTCAGGAAGGCACGTGAGTGAGCTCATGTTACTGTTCCTGGCCTAGGAGATCTTTGTTCTGTTTCTAACTCTAAAGTTTTGTGGCCAAAGAAAATTATTTATGCCATCTGTAAAAGAGGGAGCAAAATGACTGCTTTTAATCTTGTGTTCCACAATGGTGCTCAGGAAATTTATGAAAAATCTATTTCAGTGGCTGCTGAGCTATGAACGCTGAGCTCCTAATGGTTGCTAATGGGCGATCTTATTGTGGTCTTCCTGTTTTCCTTACCGGGAGTGGTCAGCCAGCGATCAGGAGAGGGTGAGAAAGATGGGGGAATTGGTGAATAATGATTGCTGTGTAAACCACCAGGGGTTGGATTTGATAATGCATCCCTACTTAGAAATGCCTGAGTTGGGAGAACCTCCAAACTGTAGTCCAGGAGACCCTAAGAAACTTTCCAGTTAGAGATCAGTGAGTTGCTATGACCACCAGAACTTGTGCATCCTCCTGACAACTTTACATTGTCCTAGGGTGCTTGATTGATCTGGCCGAGTCTCCTACCTTTACACAGACCTGTTCTCTAAAATGGGGGCAGATTTCTGTCCTCCACTATCAAATGTTGCCAAGAAAGAGATTTCACAACCTATTCTAACATTGAAATTCATTTTTCTTTAGCCTTTGAAAAATGTGAAAAGTAGCTGGTTGTACTTTTCCATGTAGTAAGTTCCAGAATTCTCAAAAATAGTTATCTAATTACTCTGCAACTTTTGTTGCCTACATTGTCATTTGATGCTTATTGTTCCTTATGAGGAAAATATGCCAGAACTATGTGCTTATAAAACTTTTTCCCATAGATATCGGTAATATAGCATGGACCAAATCAACCCTCCTAACACAACTCTGTACAGAGGTCAGATATATTAGGCCTATCACCCACCACCTGTGTTAAAAGACAGCAGTAGCCAACAGTTATGGTGCCAAATATGGATACATAGCAGTTCCTTTTTCTTGATATGTAAGAGAAAATAAGAAATCTCTAACCATGTTAACTTCTTTTTATCAAGAATCACAAAAAT